GGAATTTGATGATCTTGGGCTCGTTGGATTCGTCTCGTCGAGCCGTTCGATTCGAGTATAAGCTCGTCAAAATCGGAGACCGTTTGGTAACTCAAATTGCGGTTTGAACCTTCCAACAGTGCTTTGAACCCTTGATTCGGACTCATTTGGGCTCGGATTGGGTTGATCTTGGTGTCGTTGGGTTCGTATTTCCGAGACGCTCAGTTTGACTGTAAGCTCGCTGAAATCGGAGTTCATATGCTCCCGAAATTATTTTTTGAAGTTTCCAACTAGCTTTTGCCTCGAGATTCGTGCCCGATCAAGCTAATTTTTGGAGTACGTATCAATTTTCAATTTCATCTTTATGCAATTTTTTTCCTAATATATTTAAAATAATGAATTTAGATGCTTCTATGCAATTATATTTATTATGTGTTGGAATATTCGAGTAGAGGGAAGATTTGTTAATTGGTGATGGAGGATTAATCAAGAAGCAAATACTAAGGCCCCATTTGGGACGGCTTTTTTTACTGCTTCTTAAAGTAGCTTTTTAGTAAAAAAATTAATTATTGTACTAAAAAGTTGCTTTAAGAAGCAATAAAAAAGCCGTCCTAAGTGAAACCTAAGAAAGCAAAAGGAAGGTATAACAAGGGAGGGGTTTCACTATTTAAGCAAATATCCAAATACAATAACGATATCATCCTTCTACTCGATGGGGACTATATTCCCAATATCGATAACATAAAATCAGAAGTAATTAAGGCTTCATTTGGGACGGCTTTCTTTCTGTTTCTTAAAACAGCTTCTTAATTTAAATTTTTAAATTTTTGTATTAAAAAACTACTTTAAGAAGCAATAAGAAAGACGTCCCAAACGAAGCCTAAATTTAACTAAGGTAATCAAGAAGCTATTAAGTTTGATAATTAAACTTTATAATAAATATGAAGCTATGAAATTGCCATTTCTTCACTTGGGCTTCTTTTGGGATAACTTTTAGTCACTTTTTTTAATTACTTTAATGATATTTTTGTCCTAAGAAGTCACTAAAAAAAACAGTAAAATTTATCATTAATTTGAAAATTAAGCAAAGTTTTAACCATGATCTTAGTAATGGCCTAAAAATAAGCTAAAATTTATCATTAATTTGAAAATTAAGCAACTGGTCATTCTAATTCAATATTATAAGGCTCCGTTTGGGACAACTTTTTATTATTTTCTAAAATAACTTTGTAATACAAAATTTTTTAAACCAATAATTTTTTTACTAAAAAATAAAAAATTACTTTAAAAAGGAGTAAGAAAGATATCACAAAGAAAACCTAAATCTCTCTTAGGAGTGAGAGTTCAACTGAAAACTATGACTTAATTTGTGACAGTTTTCTTATTAATTTTTAAAGTAGCTTTAAATACTAATTTTTAAATTTTAAAAAAATTTCGCTAAAAAATACTTTTTTTTTATGACGAGGAACCGTCTGCTGGCAGTCCGTAAACCCCAGAAATGATTAAGAAAGCTGTCACAAACGAAACCTAAATCTATCGTAGGAGTGGGAGTTCAATTGAAAACTATGACTTCATTTGTGACAGTTTTATTATTAATTTTTAAAGCAACTTTAAATACAAATTTTTAAATTTAAAAATTTTTTCACTAAAAATACCCTTTTTTTAATGATGAGGAACCGTCTGCTGCCACCTTGACTTCTCCAGGGGGTTTGGCGGTCCGTAAAACCCAGCCGACCTATCGGGCCACCTACGCGAATTTGTACTCGCAGCTGGCGCTTGATGGCCCCCATTGAAGGGGCGGCTGCTGCTCGAGGCAATCAAACTCGATATGGGAGGTTCCCACCCGAGAATGCCCACCAACTGAGCTAAGCATCAATGGGTTCCCACTAAAAAATAATTAGTTTTCACAAATACATTTTTTATTAAAATTTTAGTAAAGCATAAGAAACCCTAGCCCACTTCTCACTCTTACAAAAGTCTTCCAGCTTCGTTGCAATCAGGTGGGATTTCAGCGATCCCCTTCCTGTCTGCGCAGTCGTAGGTATCTCATGCCGCTCTCCCTCTCTACATCTATAGCTGTTCACATGTTTTGAAGGGTTTGATTTTAAGGAATTGTACGTTTACAGGAAATCAACATGGATTATGGAGGCAGGTCTGATTCTGTAATTGAGATCATTCCAGATGCTTCTGCAATTTGTTCTGAACCTATTTTACCTTCGCATGATCAATCAATATGGGCCACGGAAGATGATTACCGTGCTTGGAATGGTGATTCCTCCATGGATTCCTTCTCAAATCAAACGAATGATGGTCGACAATCCCAATCCCGGGCGGGGAGTGAGCAGCCCCATAGTAAGAAACCCCGAACATCCTCACAGGCAGATTCTGGACTTAGCAAGTCCAAAGTTTTAGGTAAAATGTTCTTCAAAACCAAATTATGCTGTAAATTCCGTGCCGGGACATGCCCTTATATCACAAACTGCAACTTTGCACATGCTCTGGATGAGCTGAGGAAGCCTCCTCCCAATTGGCAAGAAATTGTGGCAGCTCATGAAGACGGCAATCTTCCAGAGCCAAGGGAGGAGCACCAGATTCCAATCCTAACTACCTCCCCTGGTGTAGGTGAGGGACAGAGATCATACAAGGGGAGAAATTGCAAGAAATTCTATACTGAGGAGGGATGTCCATATGGTGATGCTTGTACTTATCTCCATGATGAGTTGAAACCTCGTGAAAGTGTGGCTATAAGCCTCTCACCGACAGTTGGTGGAGGAGGTTATGCAGCTGGAGGAAATGGAATGAATCAGAAGCCTTCGAATTGGAAGACCAGGATTTGTAACAAGTGGGAGATGACTGGATACTGCCCCTTTGGCAGCAAGTGCCATTTTGCTCATGGTGCTGCAGGTCTTTTTTATCTTTCAATTTGCTTACTTGCATTTTTTAGTCTATGACGAAGTCAAATTGCTAGTAAGAATTAGTATATTAGCATCCCAACCTATCAGTATATTAAAAAATAACATATTAACATTCTAACATATAAATAATTAACAGATTGTGCAAAGTATAAGTGCAATGCAAACATCAAAGTAAGATGGTATATCAAAGTGAGTAATAGCTATTACATAATAGTTCAAAGTATAATAATTGAAAATTTTAGCACAATTAGTGTATCTCTCCCACTTCTATTGTCATTCAACTAATAACATAACAAGTAACTAATCAAAATTCATCATCACTCAGGTGGTTTTTTTAGAGATATCTTCATAATGAATACCTTTATCTCCTTCTTCATCTTCAATTGTGTCAATATATTAAAAACAATCATTTTTTTATTTTTTTATTTTTTTTAATATTAAAAGCAATCATATTCTAGTATAGAATCTAAATATAAAAGCATCACAAACTAGTACCTATGATAATACTGCATTTATATCCTGAGTTGCAAAGACTCTCAAGCAGTTTATTGTGATAGTTATGATGGGGGAGGTGGCACTAATGTAGAAGTAGATGATCTCTAAGGGGACCTCCAAGGAATGAATTGAGAGTCTTCTCTTTGGATGACTTCAACCAATATGTCTTTATACAATTCAACAAAGAAGGGAAAAAATATTACCTCATATGGTATCATGAATTGACTATGCTTGGAATTAATCAACATTGGAGTTGATGAATGGTAAAATTTAATCTCAATTCCCTTGGTTACGAGGGAAATAGGTTGGACTTAAGGGAATAATAAGGTGCACAATGTTTTTTTTTTTTGGGTTTGAAGGGGCTATTAAGATAGGCATGCTTGGGGACTCGGGAAGGATTTTTGGGATGTATAGGATTTGTGGGTTTAGGAAGCTAGTAGAGTGGATAAATTTTATTTAACATAGTTTTGTGAGGAATATGACATGGTTGGGTGTGGGGAGTTGAATAATTTGATGTTTTGGTATTGAAGGGATTTATAGAAGAGTTGCCTATGTTATTACACATGAATGCTATGATGAAGACATTCATGAGTTTTAAAGCTTTATTGCGACTTTTCAATGGACGAAGTAGAGATGGCTAAGTGTAGGATTAAAGCATCATCGTTCATTCATCATCCATTTTGTTTTTCACATTGCCTTGATAAATTCTATTTAAACAAAAGCCTCGCTAATCAAAATATATGAAAAAAAAAAAACAATTCTATACAAAAGCATGGTCAAAATATAAAAAAAACATCAAAAGCTAATTAAGGGCTCTCATGAATAGAGTGCATTATGTTAGCTTTGTGTGGAATTTAGTTGTGTAAATCAATTGGGTTGTACTATTGTCACGTCCTAAATACCGTTTGTCAAGCTCGCCGGGTAACCATAACATTCATGCCTTTTGATGCAAACCTCAAATTTTGTAAGCATTGAAAGCAAGAATAGGTGTTTAGCTGAGTGGATTGAGCATTGCTTTTGACAACTTGAGGGAGAGTGTTGCCCTCGTGCAACCATCCGACGAGCTCAACGAATGGTATTTAGGTATGAGATAATAGTATATCCCAATTGATCGATACAATTAGATTTCACAAAAAACTAACATGATACACTCTATTCATGGGAGCTCTTAATTAGCTTTTGATGCTTTTATATTTTGATCATGCCTTTGTATAGAATTTTGTAGAATTGAGGCAGTTTAGCATGCAAAAGAGGTTCTTTCTATAATATTTTACAACCATAAATATAGCCAATCTTTTATTGAATACTTGCCGTTGGAGGAATCTCAGTAGGTAATTTCTAATATATTTTACTTGTGACTGAAGAAGATGGAAATCCAGTTATATTACTCTATTTAGTATTTCCAGGAACTGGTTTATGGAGATTATAAAGTCTGCACATTCATGTAGCATGGTCTGATGATTTTATTCTATAGATAGGACTCAGACCATTGATCTTGCGCATGCAACTAAGACATGGGCTATTTTTACTACTAGTAATATTATATCATCTGCTGAAGGAATGCTTGTATATGGGTGATACTTTTTATTCTAGTATTTATCAAAATTTCTCTACCAGACTATATGGAACATCTATATGTGATATTTCACTTTTTATATGAATGTTAAGTGTAATCCTTATGCAATATCCTTGTCAAAGAATTAGTACTTAATATAATTGGTGGACTTATAAATTGTTTTTCTTTTCAATACTTTCACAATAAAATATGTATATGGACAAGGGCAACTATGATGATGATTCATAGACAAAAAAAATTTAAATCAATAATTTTTTGTGGAATATAATTGCTTGTTTCATTTAATACTGAGGAAACTTGAAATTGTAATAATTTTCTTAAGGGTTTCTTTTTTCTTAATTCTGTAAATATAGATGAGTAAGTATCACATGAATCCGTTTGGTTGGCAAGAAGGATGAAATGTGAATTTGTAGGCAAATTGTTGAAGATATGAATGATATTGTTGTGACTATATTATAAGTAGTTATTGAGTGATTAAAGAAGTTTCAATTGTAAAAGAGTAGTTTGTTATGTTCTTTGTGATTTGGGTGATATTATTATAAATTTAAATAGTTTCTGATCAGTTTTTTAAATAGACATGATGTGAGTTTTATATAGGAAATTGCCTTTATTTGACTTTATAGGTTAGATAGGTGAGGCTTCTTCTAAATATACAATAACAGCATCAAGTCTTACGTGGGGATTGCTACATGAATCATTTTTCTTTAAAGGATTCATGTCATGATTATTCGATAAGTTTTATGCTGCATGTCGACTACCTAACGCAATCCTTCACTTTTCTTCTCCAGGACTTGTAACCTGACAATGACAGTGTTTAGTTAAATAACAGTGAAGAAAAAATAGAAGAAAATGGGCCATGATTCAATAGAACAATAGGCTTGCAATTTGAGTAAACTTGGAAGTAATACAATAGAAAACCAATAATGTTGAGGATCAAGGCATATTTATGATGAGGTATCACTGCATATGGTATTTGCTCATTTTATTCTTCTGTAAGCGAGGCTTCTATTGAATATAATAATTAGATGATAGAGAAGAAAAAAAGTAAAAAACGGCTTAAACTTAATAGGGCAAGGGCTGCAATTTAGTTAAACTTGAAAGGATTAACAGTTTATAATCAATAATGTTGTGGATCAAGTGATATTTAGATGTGATATTTGTATGGTGAGAAATTTTCTTACAAACAATATAAATATTGACGAGGATGTTAATTCTAGAGTTGAATGTGGATGTTTAAATTGGGTAGGTGCTTTAGAGATAAGATTATAAGAGTTATTATAGACATTTAAAAGTAAACTTAATAAACATGGAGAACGAGCTAGATTTAAGTGCTAACAATATATAAATAAGTTGCACTCTAGTTAAGTATGCTAGAGGTTTAAATTTGTGAGGCCTTTAGAGATAAGATGATATCATAGATATTTAAAGCTAAATTTTATAAATAATGAAGGGATTGGTTAAATCTTAGCGCTAGCATTATAGAAATAAGTGACATTCAACAACAATGTAAGATAATTAGGTTGTAAAATTTGGGAGGATAGAGTACACAAAATAAATGTATTAGGCAGGTTATGAGGTTAATGCATATAATATTATTGAATATAAAGATGTAGAAAATAGTTAAGATGATTTGGATTTTCACAACAGAAATTTGAAGTAAAAGTTTCACAAAGAAGGTCAAAAGTCAAAACTTTGTGTGAAAGGTATAATTAGTATAATGTGGTAGGCCAAAGCTTACTTTTCTTAAATTGTAAAATGACTTGCATAAATTAAGCTAACAACAGATTTATTAGCAGCAGCAACAACAACAACAACATCAAGTCTTTGTCCCACTACGTGGGTTCGGCTACATGAATCATTTTTCTCCATTGTGTCATGTTAAAAGTTAAATTCTCGTTTAAATCTAACAAAGAAAAATCATTTCTAATATTTTCTAACCAAGTCTACCTTTCTTAACATAAGTCAAATCTAATACTTATACTTTTCTAACCGGGTCATCGGAAGGTCATCGTTTTATGTGACCAAACCATCTAAGGCGACTCTCTCTAATCTTATCTTCCATTGGCGCTACTCCAACCTTTTCACGTATATGCTCATTTTGTATTCTATCTCTAAGGGTAAGGCCACTCATCCACATGAGCATCCTCATCTCTGTAACAATTAACTTAGGATTATGCTTCTCTTTTAATGGCCAACATTCGGCACCATAAAGCATTGCAGGTCTCACCATCATCTTATAGAGTTTTCCCTTAAGTTTGAGGGGAACTTTTCTATCACACAACAAGCCCGATGCATTCATCCACTTCAATCATCCAACTTGAATTCAAGCAACAGATTTAGCACTCAACATAAATGAATGGAAGAAAGTACATTAAGCTCACCCCAAAAGTTTGGGATAAGGCTAATCTTGATTAGGATTATGAGAAACCATTGGCCATGCCATGCATTGTCTAAATATTTTATACTTCACCCTGCTTTTGTAAAAGTAAGCAACTTCCTGAATGCTTATATTTCTCATTACACTTACCATTCACACTTCAAACTAATCTTTTGTGGTTCAATCGGTTTGGTTGATTCAACCAAATCCTTTATCCCTGCAAATGTCACAAGTTAAAGTTAATTAGTCATAGATTACAACATGAGTAAAAAGGTAACATATCCCTAAGAATAGAAGAAAAATACAACATAAAAAAGTTTTAATATTGCTCTATTTTCCTATCATAATGAATAGGATATATGATATGAAACTCTTCCAAAAGAAATAGACAAATCCATCATTTTCATTCCTCTTATTACATACAAAAGCACAAGATGATCATTTAATTGTCCATGATATCGTCAGATTTAGTATAATTTCATATAGCATATATTTATATTTAGCTTCATTTGTTGCAGAGCTCCATAGATATGGTGGAGGATTGGTAGAAATGGAACCCAGAGATGCTTCAGCAACAACAACAGACTTGAAGCAGGCCGGTGCATCGACGAAGACGATAACAGATGCTGTTGTGGCATCAAATACCTCAGTTCCTCATGGAGATGCTTATCATGTTGGAGCTCCTGCACAGAGATCAAACATGGTAAATCAGAGACAGATTCAAAGACCAGTCCAGAACTGGAAAGGGCCAGATAAGATTAGTAGGATCTATGGGGACTGGATTGATGATAATGAGTAAAATCCTCTCTCTCTCTCTCTCTCTGCACTCTAAAGCTAAAAATTTGAAGAAAAAAGAGGTTGAAATATCTTCAGAGTTGCTTGATGTGGTGGAAGGATTCAGCATAGTTGCTGGAACTTGGGTCTCGTTTGGGACGGCTTTTTTGCTGCTTTTTGAAGCAGCTTTTTAGTATAAAAATTAAAATTTCTGTACTAGAAAGCTATTTTAAAAAGCAGTAAAAAAGCCGTTCCAAACAAAACCTCAATCTATTAAAGCCAGAGTATGGAATCTGAGCTACCAGGAATTATGATCCATCAAGTTTGTATCATGTTTGATTATCTATCTGTACAATAATAAGGTTTCTTAGAATTATGAGTATTGTCGCTTATCGGCATCATCAGGAAATTTGAGTTTGTAAGATTAAGGGGGCAGAAATTCCATCAATTATGATGCTTGTAGTTGTTTCTTGTAACTTATTTTCTCTGTTCATATGTGAATTAAAATAATGTTTTATGTCCTTGTTGTAGGAATCTGATAGGCCAAAAACTAAAAAAATTGTGGCTTTTAATTTTTAGTATTATTATATGTTAGAAAATTTGTGGCTATAGAGACTGTTTATTATCTAAATTTTGGATAAAGATTCATGTTTTGTTTGGGACGGTTTTTTTACTGTTTCTTAATGTTATTTTTAGTACAAAAAATTCAATTTTTATTATAAAAAGTTACTTTAAGAAGCACTAAAAAAATCATTCCAAACGAAGCTTCAGTGCGTATATATAAAAGTTGAAAGAGATATTAGAATATATGATTATATATGCGAAGAACATTAGTTTAATGCCCATTCGGGCTCGTTAGGATTTTTATTTGGGTATTTTGTTAAATTTGATTAGAACAAAAAACACTTAATCGAAAGATTTATATCGATCACCTTGATCTTATATAGATTGTTTATTGAGTATTTGAGTTTTTTTAATAATTTTAGAATTGAATGATCTTGAGAAGGGGAGTTCGTGACTAGAATTTGTCCGACAATATTCTACGACATCATTGATGCACGAAGAGAAGCGGAGTTCAAGATAGAACTTGTTGGGGAAGCCATTGCGACAAGCGAGCTCTTCAGGACGAGCTTATTGGGGGAAAACTAAGGTTTTTTTTAGATGCTTTTTTTACTGCTATTTAAAGCAATATTTTAGTACACAATTTTTATGAACTAGAAATTTTTGTACTGAAAAACTGTTTTAAAAAGCATTAAAAAATCCGTCCCAAACGAAGCCTTAGACGACATTGATGGTTTGTGAGGAAAAGAGGAGTCCAAAATGGTGTTAGCCAAGGAAGGCATTATGAGACCTGGGGCATGCTTGTTGGTAAAGGCAGAATGGGTCCAATACATGTGAAGAAGGTGATGTTTGAATAACAATTCAAATTTAGTTGTAATAGAATGTTTGAATTGTTCTTTATTTAAAATGGGTTTCATTAATAGTTTGTAAATACAATAAAGATTAATTTTTAGTTATATTTTATTTAAAAAATAATTAGGGGCTATTTGGTCGAATTACATAAGGGCGTAAAGTATTCCAAATAGAGAGATTTTGAAAATTGTAGTGTATGGTCATGAAAATAGAATGCAAAGTAACGTAAATTAAATAAAGTGTAAATGATTCTAGTTCATTTTTGAGCAAAACCAAACTAGTCTAATTTTGAATGAGAATGATTTACACTACAAACAAGCTCACTTAAATCCCTTCAGCTGCCTTCGACCACCACTGTCAGCCACCACCGCCTGCCATCACTGTCAATGCTGGCTACCACCACCGCCATCGATAGTCTACCACCATCACCGCTAACTGCCAACCATCACCTCTACCATCCTTCAGCCACCATCGTAGCTGACCGCAACTATCAGCCGACGACCGCCACCCCTCCATTGCCATCACCAACAACCACCATCTGCCGGGGGCAATCATATTTCCTCTCACGCGTTACTTTCTCGTAAAAGAGTAGAATAATGCTATACACTAAAAATATGATTGGCGCATGGATCTCCACGTGTCATCATCTTGGTGGATTACACCAAAATCCAAGTTGGCCATAGGTTTTCTACCCCCGTGGCCTGCTCATAGTAGCCTCACAGCCTAAACACGGCCGACATCCGCTAGCTACTCAATCGTGGTCCCCACACCGTGATTAATTTCGCGGTTTGCTGTTTGAAACCAAACATCCGATTTAACTTAGTTTGAGACAGCTTTTTTTATTAATTTTTAAAATAAAATTTTTGTTAAAAAATTAAAATTTTAGTATACTTTAACAACAATAAAAAAACCATCACAAATAAATCCTCGATCTTCGCATCAGATTGTGGCTCCCTCGAATTCGTGAAATTATTCTGCTTATCTTATAATTATGTCACAATATATATATATATATATATAATTGTATAAATTAATATTAATAATTTTTTATGTGATAAAAAATTTAAATGGTAAATAAATAAATATAAGAAAAATATACTATTTATATATAAATATGTAATAATTAAATATATAAGTCACTCATTTTTATTATAATTATATATAGCCGCGCGCCTTATTTCAGTCAAATAAAAAATAAAGGAAAGCTTAGTAGAAAGAGTGAGCAATAGAAACAGAAGAAAGAGCTGCACTGCGTGCCGGACTCCACTATCCGTGTCCTTTCCCTTTCCTTCTCTCCCTCGCTGTCGCTCATTCTCTTCGTCTCTCTCTCTCTCTGCAAAGAAACCTTCCGCTTCTATCGAAGGAGCGTAACTTGAGTTGAACCTTGAAGCTTCATTGGAAGAACAACCGGCGGAGCCGTCGAATTCAGGGGAAATGGCGAAGCGGGGCTACAAATTTCGTATCCTCATATTGATCGGCTTAGATTCTGCTATCTTCCGGGTTGATTTCTTCCTTTGCAAAATTATAGCTGCTCTTTGATGGTGATTTGGTTTTTGGATGGGATTGAGATGGGAATAGGATTTCTATATTGGGAACTAGCGGCTTACGCTTGGCTGGCAATAGGATTCGTCTTTCATTCGGCATTTGTTGGATGAGTCTTATACGTCACTGGTATTTTTAATGATTGTTTAATTAGATGTAGGCTGATGACTTGTTAGGGTTTGCTGCTGTAGGTATTTACATCGAAGACATATTTCGTTTGCTTTTATTCATGTTCTTCATTAGACTGATCTTTTAAGCTTATGCTATATTCTTGGTTTATGTTCCTTTTACAGCGTTATTCTAAGTTGAAGCTTTTGTATGGAATCTATAAATACATGGGTCATCTTCGAGGAAACGTATATCCCAGTCGTGGAAATTTGAGATAATTTGTTTTTCTTTGGATGAAACATGCAGCGTATAGGGCAAGTTCTTAATGTTGAAACCTCTACTATATGTTCCCAAAATCATTCAAGTAATAATACCCGGGAATCTGAAGCACTGGACTGGTAGTGGAGCATGTATCAGTTATAGTTTATTTATGTGGAATATCGAAGGAAAATTAGATAATGCAACACATTTTGGAGCTATCTTTGCTACAAGGCAAGTTAGTTTGTAACAAAGGCGCGGTGGCCTGTAAGTAAGGCCACTGAGAACTTGCAGATTTACTGCCATTTTGTTTGCTAGAGGATTCCATGCCGCATGATTTATCCATCATGATTATCCATTAACGTGTATTTATGTAGACTATTCATGGAGGATCACACAATGCATTATAGTTTGGAGCAATCTTTGTTTCATGTCACGTTAGTATGTAGAAAAGGCAGTTTTCTGTCTAAAAGAGGGATGAGAAGTTGTGGTTTTACTGTCATTCTGTTTGAGGATCTTGTGAATTGTATGTCCCATGTTGCCTCCGTCATTATTTTAATGACCAATTTGGTTACTGAAATTTGAGTCCGGGCCTCTTTTATGTTGTTATTGAATATGTCATTTCAGATTCATTGTCATCCTTTTGGGAATGAAGTTGGGATTTCCCAGCTCATCTCGTGTTATCCATTGTTTAATGTATTCTTGAAAGCGTTTCGTTGTGGTTAATATTTGAAATATTATGTATTAAGGATTTCTTATTTGTAGCTTTGGAGTAACTAATTGGATTCAGATTTAGACAATACTACTTACACTGTATAGACAGTTTTTGTTTTGGAGTTGAAATATTTTTCATCTTTATTGTGCACTTGTGCATACATAATGCTTGCAGCTATGACATGATTTTTCCATTATAGTTAGCACTGTATTGATTTTGATTTTGAATAGGACACAATGGAGAAAAATGGTTCATGTTGCCAACCCTAAGTTGTGGGATAAAGGCTTGTTGTTGTTGTATTAGTAGTAGTTAGCAATGTATTGACTTATTTGTTAAAATGAAAATGTTATGGAATAATTGGGCAGAATTTGATGAAGGCTTTGCTTTTATCCATTTAATAATTGAAATGGGGGACAGTTGAATAAATTACGATCTTATTTATCAAGTTCTTTTCCCTGACTTTGAGAACAGAGGAATTTGTAGCACATGCAGGTGATGTCAACTGTTTAAATATAGGAAAGAAATCATGTAGAGTTTATGTCACTGGTGGCAATGATCGTGCGGTCAATTTATGGGGCTTTGATTCATCAAATTCTTTGCTGGTTAGTTCAACTTTCAATGAATTTTTTATTTTATTTCCCTTATTTTTAAGACCATTGTTGCATTTGTTCTATCCATTTTTTTTATCTTATGTGAACTTTGCTCACTAATCGTAGATGGATTTATACTTTATTTGATCTTTGATATTATACCATCCCATCTAGGATACCATGACCTTTGTATGAATACTTAATTAGATACACACATGCAATAATGATAAAGTGTAAGATATACCTATTATAAATGGTTTTTAAGTTTTTTGTATTGGTTTCCTATCCTTGGTATTGACACAAGGTTAACAAATGTATGATGTAACCAAACAAACCGTTTTAACTATATATGTGAAGCATATTAAAATATGTGGAGAATTTGAAATCTTTCTTCTTCATTGAAATTATTTGATATTAGCCAATGTAGTCTAATTTAAGAATAAAATAAGAAAGATAGTCTACTTCAAAATCAAGAAAATAAAGGAAGTGCATGCGAGTTACGAGAACAATCTCAAAATTATGAGCACTACTATGATTCCAACCACAACCTTGAGAATTGAAGGACGATACTAAAGAACCTAGTCTAGGATTTATTTCGAGCAAGGAAAATGAAGGCATACCTAAAATTTTATCACGATTCGCCCAATCAAGCCCGAGAATTTTGTTAGCATAAAAGATTAGATGTAGTGACTTTTTAAAATTTATAAAGTACTTATATTGCCTGTCAATTACATATACAATTATTTATCTATCAAAATAACTCAATTAATGATAAACCTCAACAATCACATAGTTTATCCCATTAACATAGAATAAATGTTAGCAACTATAACCATTAACACAGCTTAAAAATATGATTGTGTTAATTCCTATTTTTAAGAATAAAGGTGACGCACAAGAGTGTGTGAATTATAGAGGAATTAAGTTAATGTGTCATACTTTAAAACTATGGGAGCGAGTTATGGAGCGTAGGTTGCGGCGTGATACTAATGTTTCTCAAAATCAAATTGGATTCATGTCGGGTAGGTCTACTATGGAAGCCATACATTTATTGAGAGGTTTGATGGAGAAATATAGAGAGAATAAGGAGGATCTTCATATGATATTTATTGATTTAGAGAAAGCATATGATAAAGTTCAAAGAGAAGTGCTATGGAGAGTTTAATTCAAAAGATAGGTAAGTGTTCTAGCAAGAAAGAACAAATAACCAGCCATAATAAGGAAGATAGAGATTGCAAATTGTATATGATAAATTACTCAAAATATTAGACTATACTCGAAGCTCTGGTGGAAACTTACCTCTCAGAATGCGTTGATGTAATATGTCACCTACAACTGCATCTTCGTTTGCACTTAGTACGTCTAGCATAGAGCAACTCGTCCTCGAGTCATGCTTGCGACATTAGAATATTCAGGCATGCACTGATTTGTAGTTTCCCGCCTAGCGATAGGATTATGACCATTTGTTTGAAGCGAGGCCCTGGCATGCTAGAATAGTACCTTGGAGCATGTGCTTGACGAATGACTGAGTATACTCATCTTCGCCCGGAGAATGAAAAGTAACTAAATGGCATTACTTCTCTTGTACTAGCTATATTCGTCAGAAGAGCAGTAAGACAAGTTATTATGCCGAATTAGGGTGCAACTTGTATTCGTGATAGAGTCATATCACTCGTAAGAATGACGATTTACATTGCGTAGTACAGAAAAATTAGCGATCGGGCGAAGGTGAGCCATGCAATGAGGCGCATGTATAAGTGATCGCGACCCAGATCGTATATATACTGTTCCTTGACAACTTCATCAGACAATGTAGAGCTCACAATAATTATACTTCTATGACATCAAACATACCGATAAAAAATATACAAGCGAACTTAGAACTCGGCGGATAATATGCGAGCAAATACTAATCCTATACCGGAAAGTCATCGAACGCGGACGCTGCATGCGATCCGAAGAAATGTGTCATTGATAACTGCGACCAGGACGCAATGATATATGAAGTGATCAGTCCAATAACAGTAGATGGCACTAGTCGTAAGCAAGGAAGGACTCATGCCCTACTCACTTATTGAGCAGTCACGGGCAATAAGTCTATATACAGAGTAGCATGACCCGGTACTTGATAAAATCCTAAATACTATAACGAAAGATGTGAGAAGAAGTAGGAGCGTAAATTGATAAAATAAAGTACTTAATATAGGAACCGGGAACGATGTAAAACATAAGATGAACTAAGAAAAATAAGTAAAGACAAAATAGATATGAAATGTAAGAAAACAATAAATAGCTTAAGCATAAGACACAACCTAAAATTGTTAAATCAATCTTTAAATGTCATAAGAACTCTCAATACAATCCAATGTTTGGACTAATCCTGTCGCTTAACAAGAGTGCGACTATGCAAACTTCCACAGAGTATTATATTGTATCCTAAACAGTACTCGAATAAAGCATACTGATGAAAGAAACAAAGTTCTGTGAATAGAGATTTTATAATATAAAAGAGAATAAGACAATTTTAAAAAAATTATTAAAAAATCATTCCCAAACACGCCTGTGCTCAGTATGTAGAATCGAGCCGGGACGTATGAAATAAAGAATTCGCAGAAATCAACTCGTAACATCAACAGCTAACTGTTCTAAAAATCGATTCTGATACACCATACTAAACTCTAGTACCTTGCTGCTAGCCAAAAAGATTGCATGATGTAACTGTCTAGCTCCATATTATCTCTTCAAACCATAGTGGTCGCTCACTAAGACTTTCTATGAACATGTCGCGCTAAAGCAAAATAAAAAAAGTAAAGACCGAATAACCAGCTTCCTCAAATTCTTCTAAATCCTATATTGTGTGGAGCAGCACAAAAAGAAACTTAATACAATCTAATACAATATGAATTATTTATTAATCAAAAGAATATAATAGTTTGAAGTAATGAAAAGACTATCATTACATAAATTCTTTAAACACATCAGACAATAGGAGCATCAAGCTGCTCCTAGCTGAACTACCAGGTCTCCGGACTTCTTTCGGACTCACTTCTCCAAGACCATAAGAGATCGTCAACACTGCTCTATAGATCCGTATATTTGAATGTCGGTTTATTTGAGTGGAGGAACCTAACAAACATATGAAGTTACTAATAAAAAAAATTATGACGCAATATAAAATAAAATTATTTGTTATTCATATAACAAAATAAAAAGAGAATGATACGTTACGTTACCTACTCAGGTATATCACAGTTCTACATTATCTACTAATGAATAAGCTAAACTCGCACACCGCTAATAACGTCGAAGGTCACACGCTGCTTAAGATCAGAAAGAAGGTCTAGCGGCTAGTAGAAGAGACACACTGTAGGCGGGCTTGATGGGTGGTGTGGAGATAGTCATAAGGATAGAGGATATTGTGGAAAATAGAATAACCTATAAGGGGCACAAACATACGGTGAGAGGGAAGTGGTAACAGTTATGAGGTAGGATAGAAGAGATAATACGACAACAGACTGGTAACGGAATGGGGAGTAATGTAGATAAAAATGTGGGCTAATCCGAATATCCAATAGAGTTGGATAAATAAACTTTGTATTAGGCTGAGGCTGTGTAATAGGAATGACTGCTATAAAGGCTGAAAGCTGTGTACCAGAGCTGCAGACCATTAGATGTAGCAGGACTAGCAACAAGAGGTGTCACATTACAGTACGATACTAGAGACTAGGTGGTACCAGCTGTATGAACTTCTTACTAGCGGACCGTTAAAAATATTTTTTATCAATCCTTATTCTAGGCTTCTCTCACCTGAAATTACATATGCCACAATAAATAAAAGAAGAAATATCAAACAAATATGAGTAGAACAAAAATATAATAAAAATAAGCGCAGTATGCACGTAAAGCTAAAAAATAGAGTCAAGTTAAAAGCAATGAAGAGTAAAAAAAAAGCAGTGTAGTACACTAAAAAAAACAATGCACTCTAAGATAAAATAGCAAGGGAAGATAAAATAAAATAAGGCCACATAGCTAAAAAACATTTAACGATATCTATGATATGTTAACTCACCATTTTTGATACAGAATCAACAAGTTGCAATAAGATGAATTACTAAAACTACAACAATTTAAACAGTAATCATACATTCTATTACACTCATGAGTTATAGAATCTAACATACCTTAAACATGCAAATGCGTTCTCTAATATAATTTGAATTGGGTCATACGCTACATTGATTGGGAGATTTGTTAATAATGTAGACATAACCTCTCATTAGATAGTAACTGATAGGGTATTACTATAATGAGGATGTTTTCCAATTACTCCCCTGATTATTGGTATTCATAACTCCCAGCAGATACAAGTCTTTTTGTCTCTGATTGACCGCTATGATAGTTAGACATAATAAGCAACTGATGTTCCTGAAAGGGAATGATAAAAAGGAAATAAACAATATAGCATTCTCCTAACTAACAAAACTTACTCTCTGGTAAATCAATAAATGGATGAACATCTTCGATAGCCTGCTAATTTGGATACTAATATGGAATCAACAAAATTCACAAATTGAAAGAAGATCACTGTTCCTCTGAACCGGGATATATTCAAACCTCCTTAATATTTCTTGTAATATCCGTAGTATTCAGAATCATCCCTTATGGTGTTCCATCTTAACCATGACTCGTTGACATTTCTGCTCTTCTTTCCTTCACACAGTAATTTTGTCTGGAAATTTATAAACAATAACCTAAAAAATTTTGATAACATTGTTACTAATCTATTTGGTCCCCAAAGACTAACTCAGATAACTTAAGAAATATCTCGCGAACTATCTTAAGATGTGTAAATTCAAAATAGTACATCATGTTTAATTAAATTGGAAAATAATATAACATCATTAGTAAAGAATAATTATACAAAACATAAGACCTGATTTTATAACACGCAAGCAGTGAATCTTTTTCCATCTATCTCTGGAATCTCTCTGTCATGTACTAAGACTTAAATG